TAAACATAAATTTTGCGATTTAAGTCCGAATCACGTCACATGACATCCGTTTTTCACCAAATTTGATAGAAATGTCTTAAATCATATATAAGACTTGTATCGGGCGCCGGAACCAAAATACGGGCCCGATACCATCATGTTCTAATCAAATTTCATTTCAAATTCTTTAAACAATTCCAGAAAACAATTTCCTTTAAAAATTCATTTCTCGAGCTTGGGACCTCGGAATTTGATTCCGGGCATGCGCCCAAGTCCCATATATTGCTACGGACCCTCCGGGGCCGTCAAATCACGGGTCTGGGTCCGTTTACCCAAAACGTTGACCGAAATCAAATTAGCTCATTTTATAATCAAAACTTATCGTTTTTTTCACAGATTATCATATTTAAGCTTTCCGGCTACACGCCCAGATTGCGCATGCAAATCGAGGTTATTCTAAATGAGGTTATCAAGGCCTCAGAACACGAAATTTCAATTTAAAACAAGTGATGACCCAGAAGGTCATCACATTAATCTACAACAAAACTACATATCATTTGAAAAAATAATATGAAAATACAGAATTTCAATATTTATACAAATTATCTACAAAATTTCGACAAACTGTTCATAACAGAATTTATCTTTTATTTTCATGCATATTCGTCTGGAACACTAAAGTTACTTGATATGCCAACATCTCCCGTTATAAAGGAATACAACTTAATTATCTACAATTTTCTACAACTTTCACACATTATTTTCACATAGTTAAATATAACTACAATAACATAAAATTTGAGCTTTGTGTTTTTGTGTTAAAAGTTTTGATGGGAGCTTGTTATTCCACTTCGTCTATTTTGGAGCTAACTTGTGCAGTGGAGAAGATGTTTTTAAGTTATATATATTGCTATACCTTTAAATTCAAAAAAGTATGGTTGTATTGTATTTAAAGAGGCGTGAATTTGTAGAATAGGTTGAATATGAGGAATGAGTCAAATAAGACTCACAATGGTTTGTTTTCTACATTTATTATACAATAAAACTGTATATCATTTGAAAAATAAATATAAAATTACAGAATTTCAATGTTTCTACAAACTGTTCAAAATAAAATTTATCTTTATTTTCATGCATGTTCGTCTGGAACACTAAAGTTACTTGATATGCCAACATCTCCCGTTATAGAGGAATACAACTTATCTATAATTTTCTACAACTTTCACACATTATTTTCACCTAGTGAAATACAACTACAATAACATAAAACTTACATACAAATTTTATACAAAATTTATACAATATGTCTTTTGTATATTTTGTATCTGATCTATACATAGTAAAAATAATTTTTATACAACTAATTATATATTATACAACTTATCTACAAATTATCTACAATTTTCGTACATTATTTCTACTAAGTTATATACAACTACAATATAATACCACTTATATATAATTTTTATACAATATTGTTCAACTTTCATACAATATTTAAATGAACAAAATAAAAATAAATAAACAACAGAATACAATTTTTTTACAATTTCTGCAATATAATGTATGTCATGTATTCTTCTTCTTCTTCGAGTTTCAATCCGAAATTCAGCCAAAACCAAGTCTAATCTTTACCAAAACCCCTAAAATTGAGATATAAACTCCAAACTATATTCCCAATTATTTGCAACAACACTCAATCCAAACAAATAATGATTTTTGAAAACCCAAATTTGAATTCAAAGTTTCAAAGCTTTTTAATGGCTGTCAATGGTGGAATTGCTGCTCTCTTTTCCTTTGCTTTGTATTACTGAAATTTGGACATAATTGCGTTTGATGTAGAAGATTTAGTCGTTTTTTATTTGTGAAATTAGAAAAAAATTTGAAACACAGTGTATCGAAAAAGCAGAGACGCTAAATTTGAAACGAAACTGACGAAGAAGATTAATGTGCGTGATTTGCGTTGTGGAAGATCTGGAAGAATATTTAATCCCCCAATTTTAGGGCGCCTAAATAAGGAAGCATACAGCTACAATGATTCCTTATTTAATGAATTGTCTATATTTTGTAGAAATACTATTAGCATGAAGGGTAATATGCAAACTATGAACATATTTGGTAATATAGGTTCCTATATGGTATAGGAACGAAAATTTTCCCCTATCTAAAAATAGTGGAAATGACATCATGTAAGCATGCTCTTTAAAATATATCCACAGTTTACAATATATTTAAAGATTAGCTATTTTTGCTCAAATTTCAAGACACGACGTCCTAGAGTTTAAATCTCAAAACTCAAACTTCAGGATATCATGTCCTAAAGTTCGAATCTTATGTCCTGAATTTTAAATTAGTGGTTCAAAAATTCAAGACACTTAGTCCTAAAGTTTGGGTGAATTGGTTATTCTTTAAATATATTGTAAACTATGAATATATTTTAAATAACAGGCTTAAAGTGGCTATTGTTGCATTTCACCCTAAAAATGTGAACTTATTTTGGTACCTACTATGGAGAAAAATGCACTCTTCTTCTCTTTTCCTATCTCGCAATATATACAGGTTCAAATACAATCCCTGTCTAAAATTGTCTTTACACAAATAACCAACTAGATTTACTGTCTATTTTTTAGTCAGTATATATATATCGATTCTTTTTAATTTAAGCGGCCTGGTGGCCAGTTATTTAAGTTAATTCTTTATTTCTTTTTTTTTATAAAAAATCATATTCTTAAATAAGTTAGATGATGGAGCTAAAAAGTCTATTAATTAGGGAAAAGAATCTATCCAAAAATAACAATTAGGTCATGCACTTTAGGGCTGTGCATTTGGATCGGATATCCGAAATCCGAACCGATCCGCTCAATTTCGGATTTCGGATTTCGGATATTTGGATCAGATTCGGATTTGATTTTTTAAAATTTCGGATTTTCGGATTGGATTCGAATTTGTATTGTTTGAACCCGATCCGATCCGAAATCCGAATTTATTAGGGGAAGTATCTATTATCAGAGGAAAAAGAACAACAAGTTGTCGGATTCGTTTTAGCTATAGAGAACTTCAAAATGCAACTAATAACTTCTCAATAAAACTTGGGCAAGGTGGATTTGGTTCAGTTTACCAAGGGGTTCTTGCAGATGGGACTAGAATTGCTGTGAAGAAATTGGAAGGCGTTGGTCAGGGAAAGAAAGAATTTCGGGCAGAAGTTAGTATTATAGGCAGCATCCATCATCTTCATCTGGTGAGACTGAGAGGCTATTGTGCTGAAGGAACACACAGGCTCCTGGCTTATGAGTATATGTCAAAAAAAGAATAAAAGAAAAGGTCCTTAATAATACGTACAATCCGATCCGAAAATCCGATCACCAAACCAATCCGAACTTTAAAATCCGATCCAATCCGATATAATTCGGATCGGAATCGGATTGCAATTTGTGGAATCCGAAATCCGAAATTTCAATCCAAAATATGCTAAATCCAATCCGATCTGATCCGTGCGCAGCCCTAATGCACTTTATCCCTACATGACTCACCGTTCATTTTAAAAGTGAGAAAGGTCCAAAAGTTGGATGCCTCCTATTCTTGGGTTGACAAGAAGTTGTAAAGTGTCAGCTCCAGCAATACACCAAAAATACTAGTATAGTACTCTATATTTAATAGAACCTACAAAGTGCAAGCTAGGATTGACCAGGTTCAATGAACCTGTAAAAAGAATATGTATTGAAATAATAGCCCTCCAATATTCTATTTAATTGGCACGGTGAGAATTTTATAAAAAGACGCTCTGATTGATGAGATGAACAAATTCAAACACAAAGGTCTTACCTTGTCTTTGTTTATATATATATATATATATATAATAATTACTCCAATGGACGTAACGATTCAATTGGTTATTTTTGAGTCATGCAGGTTTATTCAGTGATTTGTAATTTGCGGATCTGAAATGGCTTCAATTTCGAAGGATTCGCCATTTTTTGTGCCATTCTTTATTATCAAATTAAACTCTCATCTTGGCCAATAACAACTATGATCTAGCTCAGGTATTTTCACCCATCATTTTAATTTGCTTGTTTTTCTTTCTCTAGACCTAGCTAGTCTTTTTCTGAAATCTAATTTTTAATCTGCAAATTTTGCATATATTGAAAATTTAGAGAAGAAACCTGCAAACATAATAATATTTTATTCCGTCTTTTTCAATTTATGCGCCTTATCCTCGTTGTAGTCTATTCCAAAAAGAATATCATATTACATTTTCATTTTACTCATAGTGACACTCTATTATAGGAATAACATGTTTAAAACCATAAAATTTAAAAAATATCCTTGATATGTTATACTCATATTTTGTTTAAGCCCATATATAATACAATTCAAAAATATTGTTTATATTCTAACTTTTATTCCTAATTTAATTAAGACAAATAAAATGAAATTGAGGAAATACTTGAAAACAATGATATTTACTTCTCCCAATAAAAATAAAAGGAATCAATTAAAAAGATTAACTTCTACCAAATCTTTACACGAACTTTGATTAGTCATGTCTTGCACATTAATTCAACTTTATGACTATTGTATAATTCAACTTTGATTTTTCTAGCACTAAAGAGTTTAACTTAATATATTGATAATGTAAAAAAAATTATATTATCAAGTCACTTGTAAATTGTAATTTATCATGTTTAATAAATCACAAATTTGTGTTTGTTACGGAAAGTTATTTATGTATATGTAAAATTTCTTTAGATAATCCAGGTATATTAATTAGTTAAACTAAACATCAAATTGCTTAATGATTGTTATTGCTATTTTGCCATTTGATACCTAAAAAATATCAAAATAGAGATTAGGCAGATGAGGCTGACATTCTTGATAATCTGCTGATTTGCTTATCTATATTATATTAAAAGCACGAAGGCCCTAAGCGAAATATCGTTCGTCTTATTTACCCCTTTAAAATATAGTTCGACAAAATAGTCATTTTATTATTTTTCTTTATATAGTATTAATCATTCAATTTACTTTCCTAATATTTAGAAATAGTCATTTAATTACTTTCTTATTTAGGACCTTGATTTAGAAAAGTGAAAAACACACTCCTAAAATTCCTATCATAAGTAAATGAGAAAAGTACGTTTTAGAGAAGGAATTAAAATATCTTCGAATCCTAAAATCTTAAGTTAATTAAAAGAAAATATATATTTCAAGAAGGAATTAAATTATTTTAAATTCTATTTTTCCTATGCATAAATAGAAAAGGACAATACATTAAAAGGAAACTCTTAGCTACTTTTTTTATGAGCAATTTTTCGGCAACTTTGTCAAACAAAAAGTAGAATCCTTTATTCCTTTTAAAAAAAAAACTTTTCTATTTATATGCTAAATTTTTAAATGTTATATATTTACTTTGAATATATATAATTATGTAATCCATAAATATAATTATTTAGGAAGGAATTGGGTGGAATGAGTTCTTTTGGAGTGTTCCTACTTTCTCATGTGGTGCATAAGTTAGAGTGAAATAAAAATCTTTGAGATGAGAAGAAACATAAGACTCAAAAAAGGGATTAAATTGGGAGTGTGTGACTGACGGCCTACGAAGATGACTGAAATACAGATCGGTTTACCTAAATTATAGGAGTGTATAGGATATATGCAGAATAAATTTGTTCTTTTTATATATATTTTATTGATTAACACGATAGCACGTACACTAAAAACTAGTTACTATTGTTTCACTAGGTACTGTTAGATTCCATTAGTTAACAGTTTCCGCCACATTATGCAATTGTTATCAAAGGAAGAGAAAAGGAAAAGAATGGTCTCCCTCATGGGAATAGAAACCAAAACTTAAATTAACGTATATTGTCGACTTGTGGTTTGCTTTAGTTTCAATTCAACTATTTTCTTTGTTCATATTACTGTATTTATTTACAATTTTACAGCAAATTACACTAAATTGAAAAAAAATGATTAGAGTCAATCTTTAGTTCGCTGACAATATTAATGGTTCCCTTATCTCAATTTCATGAGTGGAAAGAATAATATCAATATTTATCAAGAGAAATAGTACCAAATTAAATCCAGTATCAACATAAAATATTCTTTTCCTTACGCAGGAAGCTGAGCATCTTTACTCTTTGGCTATAGACTATGAAGACGTCACCTATGAAGAGTATTTACGTACAATACATTTTCAACATTGAGTTCATGCAACAAACTCATCTTAAGACCAGAAAAATTTTAAGACAAAAGAAACTTGAAGTTGTGCTAGGTAGCAGCTTCCTTGACTTTGAATAACCAAACAATGGATTGGCTAAAAGAACCTGAAAATGTTATAAATAGGTACGGGTCATGTATCCGATGAAATAGTTGAGATACGCACGGATACTGTGGCGCCACTAAAAAGGAGAAAGAAAAAAAAGAAACTTGAAAGAGTACGTTATAATTAGGTATTGGTTACGTACGTATCTGATGAAATAGTTGAGGTACGCACGGATACTATGGTACAGTTACTGTTATTGATGAGTTCCCCTGTAAACTTCACTGTTATTGTTTTCTCACAGATAGTTCTCTCTTCTTTCCTCATCCAATAAAAGGATATTCACCTTCTTTATAAATTTAAATAGTTAATGAAAATTCACAGCACCTTGTAACTCCTCGTTGATTTGCTTTAATTTTCCCCTTTACTCGTTTAAGCTAGTTTACTTTTTTCTTTTTATTTAATTACTTATTTACTTCCATTAAGGTGACTCTATGGTCTTATGTTGTTTTGACTTTCACCTTCTTTAACGACATCAGCACTCAGCATTCAGGGGAGGGAAATATGTATTTTCCTTCTTATCTTAACTGTTACTCCGTTTAAAGAACATGGTATAGAAAGAGCATTTAATATACACTCCCCACGTCACAACTTATATGATACAATTTAGATTTTTGAGAGTCAAATAAGTTCTTGCTGATTTTGATTTTTTTATATGTCTTCTAAATATTTTGAATTGTTAATTATTGTGACTTATATTATTGTTTATCCAGTTTCCACAAAATATTATGTCCGAATTTGCAATCAAAATTACGAAACTCTCAAAATTCGAACTCCATCACATATCTTGGGAAGGAGGGAGTATATTTTAGCGATTGCAATATTCTGATTTGTTTTGTATTGTAATTTAGCTCATCTGGGCTTTTCTTGACCCAGAACGAATCCAAAGATATAACTTCTTGACCCAGAACGAAACCCAACATAATCCACAATTCCACACCTAAAAAGGCTTCTGATTGGGTACTCAAGCCCAAGCTACGTGGGCCTAGAACATAGTTTCTTTTCTTTCTTAAAAAAATAATTTTTTATTGGAATTTTTACCTCCTACAGCAAAGGTTAACACCTTATTTATTTTAAGTAAATACCATTTAGAAAAATTATATTCTATAGATACTTTTTAAGGTTTATAGCAAAATATTTAATTTTGGTTACCTCTTAGCCCTAAGCCACTAAATACGCTAATCCGTTACACTATTTTCTTTCTCTCTCTACTTTAATACATCTCATTCTCTTCCCTCATACCATTAAAATTTCCGATCTCCTCCTCCATCTACCGGATTTGTGCAAAGTCCGCTTCAGAGCAGGTTCACTCTCTGCTTCAGCAGGTTTAAAATCTATGAAACATTTAATCCGGTTGGTTTCTCACCAACAACAGCAGCCGCCGGTAGACTTACTACACACTTAATTATTTTTTGGGAACATAATGCGATAAGCATTTTGGCAAAATGCTCTTTGAACTTTATTCTATGGCCTTCCTAGATCAGAAGTGGCTTTGTTCTTGGAATCCCAAATCTGTTAGAAGGGTTAAATCTCCATGTTTGAGTTTTGGAGTTGCTCAAGTATATTTGTCTCTGCCAACTTCGGTTTGTTAGTGGAGACAAAGGTGTCTCCAGAGATGGTGAGCCTGGAGATATGGATGTTGTTGGATAATTTTCTGTTAATATATTTCAATATATTTTCATGTATTTTATTATATTCATTGTCTTTTTTTTTTCATTGTAATTCAATGTATCTCGTTGTATTCCATGTTAAGATAAGATATTGGACAACAATGGCGGATCTGTATTAGGCTTCTCAGATAGAAAATGAGAGAAGAGCTTTGGGCAAAATTTTCTATATTCAATAATAATCTTCCATCTCTCTAGAATGTTCCCATGCTTATATCTACAACGGGCCTGATTTTCTACTACAAAGAACTATACAAAGAACTACAGGAAAATAATTACAATGGGTCGTGGCCCAATACACTACTGGCCAATTACACCTGTGGCCCAAATCAACTACAAATGTATTACAACCAAATATTAAATGTCCAAATGTATCATGTAACTCCAACACATGTATTTCATTGTATTCACTGTCTTTTTTTCTCATTGTATTTCAATGTATCCCGTTGTATTCTATGTATTTCATTGTATTCANCCCCCCCCCCCCCCCTTCAAGTTGGAGGGTGGGCACATACCCAACTTGCTGGATAATAGGCGATGCAAACCTGTCAAAGACTTAGTAAAAATATCAGTTATTTGTGAAGAAGTGGGAACATGAGAGAGAGAAATAAGCCCATCAGCCAACATGGTGCGGATGAAGTGACAGTCGACTTCAATATGTTTAGTACGCTCATGAAAGACATGATTTTCTGGCTATATGGATGGCATCTTGGCTATCACACAAAAGTGGAACATGAGTAGTAATAGGCACACCCAGATCAATCAACAAACAAACAAGCCAAGCTAGCTCTGCAACCACCTTACTCATGGCTCGATATTCAGCTTCAGCAGAAGATAAAGAGACAATTAGTTGCTTTTTAGACTTCCAACTTATGAGGTTGCCCCCTAAATAAATGCAAAACCCAGAAACAGACCTTCTAGAAGTAGGGCAAGCAACCCAATCACTGTCACAGCTAGCCAACAATGAGAAATCAGAAGAGTTGTTAAGAAAAACCCCATGATCAAGTGTACCCTTCAAGTATCTCAAGACATGTAGAGCACCAAACATGTGTGGAATTATAGGAGCCTGGAGGAACTGGCTAAGGTGTTGGACAGTGAAGCATAAATCAGGCCTAGTGTGAGTCAAGTAATTCAACTTACCAACTAAACTTCTATATTTATCAAGTTCAGGCAACAAATCCCCAACATTAACATGTAGTTTAAGTGAAATGTCTAAAGGAGCAACAACCTCAGAAACATCAGAACAATGATATTCAGTAAGCAAATCATGTATGAACATCTTTTGTTGCAAGCTAATACCTGAGGAATGATGAAGAACCTCAATACCCAAAAAATAATGAAGGAGTCCCAAATCCTTAATTCTGAATTGGGCATCCAAAAATGACTTAAGAGCTGAAATCTCAGACAAATCATCACCAGTGAGGATGATGTCATCCATATAAACAACAAGAAAAACAGTAGAAGATGGAAACCTCTTAACGAATAATGAATAGTCATTCAATGATTGAATATACCCTCTGGAGCAAAGAGCATGTGATAACTTTGCATACCACTGTCGAGAAGCCTATCTAAGACCATAAAGGAATTTTTGAAGCTTGCATACCAAGGGGGCAGAACTTGAAGAAGTTGAAGGAACTGAAAGCCCTGGGGGAATTTTCATGTAGACCTCTTCATTTAGGTCACCATGTAAGAAGGAATTGTTAACATCTAATTGAAATAAAGGCCAGTTTTTCTTAAGTGCAACAGCAATCAAGCATCTGACAGTGCCCAACTTGACAACAGGTGAGAAGGTTTCATTGAAATCAATCCCTTCTACCTGAGTGTTCCCTCTAACTACCAATCTAGCTTTAAACCTTTTCATACTACCATCTGCTCTATATTTAATTTTGTACACTCATTTACAACCTATGGGTTTCTTGCCAAAAGGTAATTCAACAATCTGCCAAGTCTTGTTTGCCTCTAAGGCTTCAAACTCTTTGGCCATAGCTTCTTGCCAAGCAGGGCTGGCAGCAGCCTGAGTGTAAGAATGAGGCTTTACTAGTGCATGTTGTGTAGCATAAAAGGAGGAAGGAGTAGAAGAGGAAAGGGAAGAGGGAAGTTGTACAACATAGTCCTTCAAGTGAGAGGGTATGTGGTGTGTTCTAGAACTTTTTCTAATCACAGGAGATGGATGAGGTTGAGGTTCTAATTCATGTATTGAGAAGGTGGGCTGAACATGATCATGTTCAGGTGGTGAAGAAATATTAGGAGCATGAGCAGGATCAGTTGGAAAGGAAGGTGCAGGTGGACTGGAACTATGTGGATCAGAATGTGTATTATAAGAGTACATGGGAAAAGATGTTGGAGTAAAAGAAGAAGAAGTAGAGTGTGTCAATTGATAGGGGAATACAGATTCATGAAAAATAACATCTCTGGAGTACAAAACTGACTTGGTTTTTAAGTTGAAGAGTTTGTAACCCTTTTTAGCATAGGGATACCCAATAAAGACACAAGGAGAAGCTCTTGGCTAAAACTTGTCCCTATTGCATTTAGGTACAGTAGCATAACATCGATAGCCGAAAGGTTTTAGATGAGAGTAAGAAGGTGGACTACTATAAAGAAGTTCAAAAGGTGTCTTGTTGTGTAAAACTAAAGACGGAAACCTATTGATAAGGTAAGTTGCTGTTAAAACACAATCACCCCAAAAGTTGGCAGGAAGCTTGGATTGAAACAATAAGGCTCTTGAAGTTTCAAGTAAATGCTTGTGTTTTCTTTCTACCACCCCATTCTGTTGTGGCGTGTGAGGACAAGTTGTTTGATGGATTATTCCAGTGTCAGAAAAGAACTGAACAGCTGAATTAGAAGATCCAAGCTCTAAGGCATTATCACCTCTGATGACTTTTACAAGAAGTTGAAATTGCGTTTTAACCATTGTTATAAATGCTTTAATTAAGCTAAAAGCATAGCTTTTAGAGTGCAGCAAATGTGTCCAGGTTGCTCTACTGTAATCATCAACTATGGCCAGAAAGTATCTTGCCCTAGAATATGATTGAGTGTGGTAGAGACCCCAAGTATCTACATGTATAAGTTGAAACAGTGCAGTAGAATGAGTAGAGCTGTTTGGAAATGACATTCTAGGTTGTCTTGCTAAAGGGCAAATAGGACAAATAAAGGACTGCTTTGCTGATAAAGAAGAAGAAATAGAAGGTATATTTTTCATTTGTGCAAAAGGAACATGACCCAGTCTATGATGCCAAAGAACATCATTTTTATTTATATGCTGGTTACTGTTACAATTTGGTAATGAAACAGGATCATGAAGAGAATTCAGAACAACTACATGTGCATTCAAAGAGAAATCATGTACTTCAGCTATTGTATCAAAACTAGAAACAGATGAATCAGAAACAATAGGAGGAGGAATAAGTTGTTTAATACTGTCCATCACATTTTGGGAAACAAGTGCAAGAGAAGTAGGTTGGTTGAAGTAAAATTTGTATAGTCCTTGGTCTATTCTACCGAGCTCCAGAAGCTTCTTCATAGAATGGGCATGTAAAAATATACAAGATTGGAATGTGAATAAAACATAACATCTGAACTGATCAATCAGTACTTACTGAAATCAAATTATAGTGGAAAGAAGGTATGTATAAAATATGATGAAGAATGAAGGAAGGTAACAAAGTAAGAGATCCAGTACAAATGACCTTCACTTTGTAACCATTAGGCAAAGAAACTAGATAAGGGATAGGTAGAGGAGTAATATTGAAAAGAAGGTTTTTATAGTCATATGGTCAGTGGCCCCAGAATCCACTATCCATATCCTTTCAGCTACATTAGTCAACAAACGCACATTAGAGGTACCATTCAGACACACAGGTAGGGAATAAGAACTACCAGCAAAGTTTGCAGAACCCATGATGACAGGTTGAGATGATGATTCATTGAGACCAGATTGTTGAAGAAGGCTCATCAGTTGAGTATACTGTTCTTTGGTTAAACCAGGTATTAATGATTCCTCAGCATGTAAAGGAGCATGATCAGAAACATCAGGAGGCTGCCCTTCAACAACAGCAACAGTACCAAACTTTTTACCTCTTGTAAACTTGAAATTCTGAGGAAACCCATGTAACTTGTAACATTTTTCAATTACATGGCCAGGCTTCTTGCAGTACTTGTAGAACAATGAAGCCTTGTTGTGATCAGGATTGACTTTGATTATACTGATCAAATTTCAATTTCTGAGGATATTGTTGCTGAGGGGAAAATTGAGGAGGAAACTTGTTGGAATTTGCATGGAAAGAGGCTGATTCGGAATAAGCTTGTGAATTTGGAAGAACTTGTCTTTGTTTTTCATCTTGTAGGAGTATATTATAAACATTATCAAGGGAAGGCAATGGGTGCATCATTAAGATATTGCTTCTAACTCCTACATAGACTTCATTTAGGCCCATTAGAAACTGATGAACTTTGTCTTCTTCCTTTTCTTTCTGGAGACCTTTTTTAGCAGCACAAGCATTAGCATGACTACTACGCATAATCTCCAACTCATCCAAAAGTTTTTTAAGCTTATTAAAGTAAGATGCAACATCTAGGGATCCTTGATAAGTGGAGGACAACTCTCTTTTAATCTCAAAAACTTTAGTTCCACTAACAGTCCCATGTCTATTGTTTAATTGTTTCCAAATACTCTCAGTTGTTTCTGAGTATTGTACACTTTCAGCAATGTCTAGGGATAAAGAATTGGTCAACCATGATATAACCATGTTGTTACATCTATCCCATTATCTATATTGAGGAGAGGTTTCAGCAGGTTTAACGCACGAGCCATCTATGAACCCTATTTTATTTTTAGCAGACAGAGAAACTATCATATTTCGCTTCCAACCCCCAAAACCTGTCCCAGAGAAAGGAACACTAACAAGAGACATTCCCGGCAAATCGGAAGGAAGTAAGAACAGAGGACTAGTAGGTTCAGGAACGTTAGGACCAGTATTTGAACTGGAATCACCCATGATTGTCAACAGAAAGCTCAAAAAAATGACTGATCTTCAACAAATCTTAAAACAGAATCAACGAATATAAAAAAAATAGGAAAGAGTGTACCAAACTTCTTCGCGACCTGAAGAAGTAAAAAGGCCTTGAAGATGAAACACACAAAATTGCTGAGAACCGAAAACCCTAACTTCGAAGAAAATCCTCCAAAAACTCCGATTGAAGAAAGAATCGCACAAATTCCTTAGATGTTGATGACATTCCAATGTAGGCGAGCAACGAAACCAGCAATAGAGACAACAAATCGAAAAACTTTGACCGCTAAGACCAGATGAAGAAAAATTCAGTAGCTAAGGGAGTAAGATCTCCAAAATCAACACAACTAAGATTACGAGGTGAAGGATCGATGATTTCATGGCTCTGATACCATGTTAAGATCAGAGATTGGACAATAATGTCGGATCTGTATTAGGCTTCTCACATAGAAAATGAGAGAAGAGCTTTGGACAAAATTTTCTGTATTCAATAATAATCTTTCGTCTCTATAGAATGTTCCCATGTTTATATATACAACGGGCCTCATTTTCTACTACAAAGAACTATAGGGAAATAATTACAATGGGTCGTGGCCCAATATACTACTGGCCAGTTATACCTGTGGCCCAAATCAACTACAGATGTATTACAACCAAATATTAAATGTCCAAATGTATCATGTAACTCCAACACATGTATTTCATTGTATTCACTGTCTTTTTTTCTCATTGTATTTCAATGTATCCCGTTGTATTCTATGTATTTCATTGTATTCACTGTCTCGCTATATGCCATGAATGTATTCATAAGTTTTTTTTTAATTAATATAATTTATGTATTCAGATGTATTATATAATTTCTCTGAAGATTGCTATGTTTTTGGGGTATTTTTCGGTTGAGAATTTTTTTTATAACTGATAATACAAAATTTGTGTGTTATAATTGAGTTTGTTGAGTTATATTAGGAGTCTATTATGTTAATTGATTCACTTTCCGTTTTAAAAACAGTGTAATCCCCTATTTCACGCCGTAAATACAGTCGAATACATTAACCTGTCAAGCTGTAATCTCATGTTTCACTCCATGAATATAGTCGAATACACTCGAATATAACAACTGATTAGCTAGACTTCCCTGATTCACGCATATATTTGCTACTGTATTCATGAATACAATAGCTTAAATACATCTTATAACCACATAAAAGGTATGATATCACGTATCAGCTCCTCCGGCTTTTCCCACTAAATTTCGAAAACCACGCATTATTAGGTGGTCTAAGAAATTAGAACTTCAACCCGAAGGCACAATAGCAGATGTTTACCCTGCTTTCTCATGTAATACCGTCATAATAGTGCTTGAATCCATCAGGCGATGTGTGCTCATGCTGGATAAAGTTATTTTGTTGAGCTGAAAGCTTCTAATTCCCTATCAATCTCCCTTTAGATGTGTTTTCCGTAATTTTGCAGTTTTACTAGCATGTTTCGATTGATTGAACACCCCTCCTTGCATTTTCTGATAAATGCAACTTAAAATCTTAAATACAATTTTTATTTAAATTTCATACAATATGTCTTTTGTATATTTTGTATCTGATTTATATATATTAAAAATAAATTTCATACAACTAATTATATATTATACAATTTATCTACAACTTTCGTACATTATTTCTACCTAATTATATACAACTACAATATCATACCATTTAAATTCAATTTTTATATAAATTTTATATAATATGTCTTTTGTATATTTTGTATCTGATTTATACATAGTAAAAACAAATTTCATACAACTAATTATATATTATACAATTTATCTAGAACTTTTCTACAATTTATCTACAATTTTTCTACAATTTATCTACAACTTTTCTACAATTTATCTACAATTTTCATACATTATTTCTACCGTATATACAACTACAATATCATACAACTTAAATACAATTTTTATATAAAAATTTGTTCAACTTTCATACAATATTTAAATAAAAATTTATACAGTATAAACAACACAATATAATTTTACTACAACTTTACTATAATTTCGTAAGTATAATGTATGTCATGCCGTCATCTTCTTCTTCTTCTTCTTCTTTTTCTTTTTTCTGTTTCAATCTGAAATTTAGCCAAAATCAAGTCTAATATTCACCAAAACACCCTCAAAATTGAGATATAAACTCCAAACCATATTCTCAATTGTTTGCAACAACACCCAATCCAAACAAGTAAAGGTTCTTGAAAACCCAAATTCGAATCCAAAGCTTCAAAGTTTTTTAATGGCTGTTAATGGTGGAATTGCTGCTCTCTTTTCCTTTGCTTTACATTACTGGAACTAGCGATTGAGAGATAGAGAGAGTCGTAGAGAGAATTCGCAATTTTTTACAACAACACCCAATTCAAATAAATAATATTTTTTGAAAACCCAAATTCGAATTCAAAGCTTCAAAGCTTTTTAATGGTTGTCAATGGTGGAATTGTTGCTCTCTTTTTCTTTGCTCTACATTACTGAAATTAGGGATTGAAAGATAGAGAGAGACGTAGAGAGAGAGAGAAAGGGAGAGAGTGGGAGAGAGAATAAGGATGTGAAATAATTGATTTCTAATATAAATGGATACTCATTTAATTCCTAAAATGTATATAATTGGTAAATTTGTATATATAAGGTAATTTAATTGAAACTTGAGTAGGAAAAATAATAAAGTTTCCTATAGTACGCAAAAATTCCAAAAACAAATGTATTCCTATTAAACCTGGCTACCTCTGTCTTTTCTCATTTATGTTCTTTTTCTAATTAATTAAGAAGATGTGTCCCACTTGAAGATAGATTCGTAATCTTTCTTTCTGGAAATACTGGTGGTACCTAAATATTTTATTTGTCCGACAAAGAAATAAATATCTGTATAAATGAATATTGACCAGATGTCCCGATCCAAACAAGAGTCTTTTAGCATCATAAATTTATACACACTCCCACTTGTATCATCGCATTATCTGACTTTTATTTTTTTTCTTTTTATTTTTTGTTTTGTTTAAGTGAAAAAGGATTGGTTAAACAAAATGCTGCATCCGAACAACTTCAACTGATCTATATAATTGACTTTAATAGTCAAGTTGAAAATTATTTGACCACAATAATAAATTTCCACGGTAGTTAGTGACACTTATTAAATTAGGACACACTACGAATATGGAGTGAGAGTTGAAACATATATAAAGGAAAATAACTTTACCGATAACTAAATAACTATTTCTCCCATTCTGTGGAAAAAATAATGTCATCCTGGGTTAATTGAGTGTTTTAATTTTATTTCGTATTTATTTAAACAATAGCTGAAAACAGAATTGTCTATAATTGTAAGTGCAAAATTTGGAGTCATATGTTTGTTTGACTCAAAAGATATTAAAATCTTTTTGAGCAAATCAATCAAAGATGACGGGGTAAATCTTAGTCAGACATAATTAATTCCAGATGAAGAAGCTAAGAGTAAGTATCGCACATGGGATGAAAGAAATATAAATGATCTTATTAAGATTCAATGTTGTATCTCCCATCAATCGACGAAGAAGTAGGTTTACATATTTTTATAGAGGTCATTTCTTCTGTCTCCAGAATACTCGAAGAGAGCTTTTCATTCTTTTGAGAGAGGTAGGAGGAGCAGCCCCCCTGTTGAAAGCTTTTCTTGGCTATATATAACCAAGGCACCTTTGCCCTTTACTTGACTTGACGTCCTCTTGCCACCAATGTGTCTTGGTCATGATTTTAGGCGCCACTCTTATCGACTCGTCGGATGTCAGAGAGGAGAAATGGAGTGGGCTCTATTAACTTTCACTGCCTGGTTAATTAGACATGGCATCGGCCAACTTGGTCGTGACAGTCAGAATTTGACCAATACAGTTAGTCCCTTTATCTGTCGGGGTCGCCCTATGTTGGGCTCGGCAGACGGATCATGATCGTTACGAATTCGAGAGAAATCTCATTTACGACTCTCCAATCCTTAGTCACGTTTTGTGGGTTTTTAGTGGAGTGGCGACGTTCTGTTGATCCCCCTAGACCGCTGCGACAGTTTCAGAACTGAAATGTCGTTTGGTATTGAAGCATTGTTTCGTGGTTATCGCCATTATGACACACATTTCTGGGATACTGAAACGTTTCGTGCCCTATCAGATTCGATTGGCGACTCTTGTGTTCCGTGCTCGGGGGATTTATGTCTCATATAAATAGAGGAAGCTTGTCATTCGATTGACATACTTCTTCATCTTTCACTTGGAGGAATCTTGCTGATATACTTTCTTCCCGGTACCTCAAATTTATACGTGCCCCCTTGTTCGCTGAAAACTTCCATCTATTCTTTCTGTTATTTCTTTGGCGTATTTTCTGGCAAGAATGGCTAGTGATTCTTCTCGTGAAAATCTCTCTGCTGTCGATCCGGTACCGGAAAGTGCTGCTCAGATCATCGGAGGGGCAGATGTGGTGGAGGATGAGGAAGTCCCATCAGTGATTGAGATCTTACCCCGCCTTGGGAGAGAGCCGACTAACTTCACTACTCCCGCCGGGGTCGAACCGAAACATGTTCACTCTGTTCTGAGGGAGAGGGATATTTGCAGAGTTGAAAGAAAGGTGGGGGATCCCCGGTTATGTTGATATGCGGCCTGTAGTGGGAAAAGACATAGTTAATTTCGACCGCCCCGGGTACTGTGTGTTCTACGCCTACCCCTTTATTGTAGGGTACACATTTCCTTTTCCCCTATTGGTGGTGGATTTTTTCCGTTTCTACGAAGTGTGCCCCGCCCAACTTTCACCATATTTATATAAGGTATTCCATATGCTGCTCAAGTATGCTGAACTCGCCGGTCGCGTGGTCACTTTGGTTCATATGCTCAGCATCTTTGCTTCTCAACTTATTCGTGGTTCGACGATTCACATGCATCCTCGGGGGTCGAGGGGTCTGGTGGTGAAGGTGGACGACAGGACCAAC